TTAACAGATCACTGTGTAGTTAATTTAAACATAACATGTTTACAAGAAGAAGAAAAAAATATCAGAGATTACTGGAAATTTAATCATAGTCTACTAGAAAATAGGGAATATTGTGACGGCATAAAGAAAATTATAAGAGACACTAAAAAAGATAATGATCTTCAAACAGCTGTACAAAAATGGGAATTTCTTAAATTTTCTATAAGGAAACACTCTATTTTCTTTAGCAAAAAACTAAAAAGACAAAAAAATGAGAAGGAGTCGAATCTCATTCAAATCATTCTTGATATATATGGTAAAACTGATTGGTGTGAAGAAGACAGAATAAACTTAGCCAAATCACAAAACGAATTGGATGAAATTTATTTACAGAAAGCTCAAGGAGCTTATATTCGGTCAAGAGCCAGATGGATGGAGGAGGGGGAAAGAAGTACAGCGTACTTCTGCAGGTTAGAAAAACAAAGACAAGGTAAAAATTCTATCTCATCCCTCATAATTGAGGACAAAGAATGTACAGACTCTAAAAAAATTGCTAAAGAAGTATTTCAATTTTACAGCAAAATCTATGAAGCCTCATTTGATGAAGGAAATGCGGAAACCTTTTTTAACTTAATTCAACATGATATCCCCAAAATTGAAAACAGTTTTAAAAATGATTGTGAGGTAGACTTGAAATTAGTAGAGCTGGATGAGGCAATAAAAAAGATGCGCTTAAATCGTTCACCTGGTCCTGATGGTCTGACGTCAAACTTCTATAAACATTTTTGGGATGAAATTAAATGTTTACTTTATAATGCTATAAAGGAATGTATTAATTCAAATGAACTAATGGTAACAATGAAACAAGGAATAATTAAATTAATACCCAAACCTGGTAAAGACAAACGATTCCTAAATAATCTAAGACCAATAACTTTATTAAACACAGATTATAAAATCCTGACAACTGCATTGGCTACTAGACTGAAAAAGGGTTTATTAAAAGTTATTAGTCCAACTCAATCAGGTTTTTTAAAAGGAAGATCAATACACAATAATATTCGTATGGTTCTTGATATTATGGATTATAAAGCTTTGTTCCCAGATGACGGTTTGATCTTATTCTTGGATTTTTCTAAAGCATTTGACTCTGTGGAACACAGGTTTATACTTAAAACCCTACAATTCTTTGGCTTTGGTGAAAAATTCCTCAATGTAATCGCTATGTTACATAAAGATATTAATAGTTCCGTTTCACTCTCTAATGGAACCTGCCCTAGATTTCAAATTTCAAGAGGAATCAGACAAGGATGCAGTCTTTCCCCCCTCTTATTCATTTTAGTCACTGAGCTACTCACTATTCATCTAAAGTCATCTAAAGTCCAAGGTCTAAATATAAATGATAATTCTATCCTAGTTAGTCAATTAGCGGATGATACAACCCTGTTCTTAAAAGACAGAAGCCAAATCCCAACAGCGTTAAAAACAATTAAATTATTTTCAGAGGCATCAGGACTAAATCTCAATATTGATAAATGTGAATTAATAAAAATACATGAAGGCCCGGAGACCTCCTTGTTTAACATCCCTGTTAAAAAAGAAGTCTGCTATCTAGGAATTTATATTACAAATGTTCCAAGTGATAGAAACCAGAAGAACTTTCTGAACACAGTAGAAAAAAACAAAAAAAATTTAAATAGTTGGCTTCAAAGAGATCTGACAGTATTTGGAAGAACTCTTCTAACAAAGATGGAATCCATTTCTAGACTGATATACCCTGCTCAGTCATTGGCCATATCTCCTAAAATTATTAAAGAAATAAATAAAATGAATCTTGATTTTATATGGAAGAACAAAAATCACTACATTCGAAAAAGCGATTTAATTAAGAATTATGAAGATGGTGGTATAAAAGCTATAGATTTTGAAATTTTGAATGGAGTATTAAAAATTAAATGGCTTAAATCCTTCTTAATAAATAGAGAGGAAATTTGGCATACAATTCCGAAATTTATATTTGAAAAAGTTGGAGGAATGGAATTCCTATTAAGATGTGATTTTGAAATCCCGAAGTTGCCTCTCAAACTTTCTGAATTCCACAGACAAGTCCTCTTTTTTGGAAAAATGGTTTTCAAACATAACTTCAGCCCACATGATGTTCCGATATGGAATAATAGAACTATTTTGGATAGAAACAAAACCATATTTGTAAAAAGTTGGATGGACAGAGGAATTTGGTCAGTGACACATATTTTAGACGAAAATGGAAATACCCTTTCACTTAAGAATTTCAATCTCAAATATGATGTTGACATTTCTGAAAATGAATATAATAAGGTGATTAAAAATATCCCAAGTGCTCTGGTTCATCTAGTTAAAGCTTCTATCGGTTATATATTTAACCCTAGACTCAAAATATTAGCAGTTGATGGGATAGAAATTTTCAATAAAAAATGTAATAATATTTTCCTGAGAAACAAATTAAACAAAACCTTTTGTCCAAACCCAATACTCCGATTCTCGTTACTACACAACTTTTCAAAAGGAGAAATTAAAGTTTTGAGAACCAACTATCTAAAATTCTCTTTACCCTCAAAATATAAAGAAGTCCATTTTAAAATCTTGAATGATATTTACCCATCTAACCATTTTATACAAACTAGATTTAAATTCAATGTGGAAAAATGTTACTTATGCAAACAAAACAATGAATCGACTAAACATCTTTTCTATGAATGTGATCAAATTTTAATGATGTGGAAATCACTCCATGATTGGCTGAACTCCAATCAAATTTATATAAACAATTTCAAAGTTGAAGATATCTTATTTGGCATTATACTAAAAGATAAAAATAATGAATTTCTAATAAATAATCTCATAATCTTAACAAAATTTTTCATACACAAATGCCGATATCTCAAAAATCCACCTACGTGGAATAATCTCAAAAATGAAATTAAACTGCTGTTGAGATCCATAGGTAAAATGTCCACCCCCAATGCTATAAAGCTTTATGATTTCATTATGAACACTAATCTCTAACTGCTTTTTGGATGATATACACAATTGACCTTGTTTGCTCTTTAACTTCCCCCTTGTAAAACTTTATTTATATTCAAATAATTTGTTTTTTCATGCTGTCTTATTTGTATCCTTTCATGTTCAAATTTTTTTTTTTTTTTTTGTTTGTTTATTGTCTTCTTACTATACCAAATTGAATTGTAGGTACAAAATGAAAGTTAAGATGAACACGAACTGTGGAGCTACTCTGTAATGTCATTCTGCTAACAATTTCTGAAATGTAGTCGTTTTTGTTCGTTTCACAAACGTTCAATAAAAGTTCTTTAAAAAAAAAAAAAAAAAAAAAAAAAAAAAAAAAAAAAAAAAAAAAAAAAGTGGTGCTCGCTGCAGAACCACAAAGGCGGAGCTGCACCAGAAGGTGGAGCTGCACCAGAGTCAGCCCCGCCCATTCCAGAATCAGCCCTGCCCATTCCATCAGAGTCAGTCCAATTCCTTCCAGTTGTCAGACTTGATAGCATTCTGGAACCAAAGAGGGTGTTATAGCTAAAAAATGCAAGATCAAGGATGGAGTTGAGAAGTTAATTGAACAGTTTTTGTAAAGGTTCCATATAATTGAAAATCTAACTTTTGGAACTTTTAATCATGTTATATTGTCATTTCCTCATAAGAAGCATGCCAAAGCAATTTTTAGCCTCATTCATGCATTTTCCTCCCATCTCAGCTTCAATTTGGTCTCCTCCCCCGAAGTGGGTCTGGTCTTGGTTCTCAAATCTGGATATTCTGTGAATTTTCTGACAAATTATTTCTGAAATGACCTCTACTGAGACACCGCCGAAAAACCATACAACCCATCTCAGAGACGCACTAGGCAGCACAATTAGATGTAACGCCGCATGTGTTATAACAGATGTGGTGGTGTAGTGGTTATGGAGTCAGGTTTACATGCAGTTTTGTGCAGGTTCGCCTCCCATTACTGTAAGTTTTAGGTAGTGTACAACCTCTTTTCTTCATTTCTAGCTACACTTGCCAGTACTATGTTTACAACAATTTACTGGTATACAGTTTAACATATAATGACTAATGTGTTTTTTTATTTATTTATTCGTTTATTTAGCCAGTGTGAGTCCATTTGTGAGCAGAGTTTCAACTAAAATGCTGTTTAGGAACGACCAAATTCAAAGAACTTTTACAGACATAAATATTTTGCTGAAAATAAACATTACAACTAAAATATAAACAAATTAAATGTTTCAGCTGGCTAAATAGATTGCTGACGACCCCACCGAGAATCGAACCAGCATCAGCTGAGGGGAAAGCAAAACTTAACTTAGACGATCTCACCACTAGACTACCAAAGCCCATTCAAAAGTCTGTAATGCTGTTATACACGATTTCTGTTAGACCGGCTGTGGGCAGATATTTGCTGAAAGAAACCTTTTCATTTCGAGATATATTCAGTCTTTTTCATGTAGCAAGTTATATTTATCTTGTTTAATTGGAGCATAGAACATAGCATTAACGACTGTAAACTAGTAACAGCCGTAATTCATGTGGGTCAGGTCAGTTTGCGATAACGTTGAAAACAAAAACGGAAGTCAGTGGGCTAGGCTGAGTTTGCGTGAATGGGCGGGGCTGACTCTGGTGCAGCTCCACCTTATGATGCAGCTCCGCCTTTGTGGTTCTGCAGCGAGCACCCTCTCAGTCAAGCAGCTGCTTCTGAGCCCAGAAGATGTTATCCTCAGAAGAAGAGCGACCATATAATGTCTAAAACCAGTGAGTTTAGGTGAAGCCTACAACAGATGGACCCAAATTTAAAAAAATCACAGCTTGTTCTATTGTTGCAACTACAACCTCCACACACTAGATGTCTTGTTGGTGTTTGTGTCCATATTCAACCTTTAAAGGGTTATGTGTTTAACGTCAATGTGTAAAAAATATATAGTTACTTTGTTAGCTCTTAACTGGTAAAAGTACATTAAAGACACCAGAAAGGCAAGTTAAGAGACAAGGGAAGTGATTTATTTGTGAACAATTTGAACATAATCGAAAAAAGGAAGAATGATAACACCACTAATGGTGGGTGTTACTTATTTTTGCTGTAAGCCCCAGAACACTTCATCTTCAGGGTTTTTTCCTATACCTTAATTTGGATGAAAAAAATGTTGGTTTCTCCTTGTTTAACCTCCTAACTGCTTTATTGGTCAGTCATTAGCTCAATTTGCTGAGTGGTGTTCTCACTCAGGAACACTGTGCTCCTGGTTAGTAGGGACAATGGGAGCATATCTATCAGTTGTGTCCAAATGGAACATGCCTGTGAGGAACATAATCCCAGCATTGGCGGCTGCAAAGTAAGGCTAAAGAACAAAACATGAAACCATTAATCTATGGGAATAAATATAAAGCCGGACTATCAGAAGGTTCCTTGATTTTTCTGGCAGGTGGAGGGAAAAATGGACTCTAATGAGTTGATCTTGCTCGAGCCAGCACTGCTTTGTTGTTATTGAAGAATCTTTACAGGTGCATATTAAATAACATTTTGGGGAGGTCAGGCTCATCTCACCAGAGCACAGGCCCATGCTAGTGTTTCCCACAACAAGTTACAGGTGAAAAACAACTAAAACACTCCCTTTTTCACATTGAGTGCTGCTGGAGTGGTGAAGGCAAAACTGAAACATCACAGGAAGCGAATTCCAGCTCCAAACTGTACACCGTCACATATCCTACAAGGAGAGAGAAATCACAAAGAATCACACAGGCCAGATGATCCAGATCTTCTATGCACGTTGGATACATTATAAAAAACAGCAGACAGTAGCACAATGATCAGACATGTTTTGCAAGATACTCTTGTTCTGTTTCAAATGCAAAGGTTGATGTTTAACTTTTCCATCTGACTTCATACTTCGTAGTCAGGAGCTGCTCTGACTTTTCATCACTACCTTGTCCTCATTCAGCTCTTTCTACCAACTCTGTCTTTCTTGGGATCCACTGATCACCTCTTTCTTATTCATTTTCTCTTTCCCTTTCCTCACATTTTTAATAATACATTTTTCATTTTTATAGTTTTTATGACTAATCATTTTTATTTTTTACATTTGTGTGAAGCACCTTGTGACTTTTATCTTGAGAGAAGATTGTTTCTTCTTCTTCTTAGACAGTAAAGAGTAATGCACTGTTTACAACAGTGATCCTAAAATTACATTTGAGGATAATTTGGACCAACTATTTTCTCAGCAGAAAGCAGGCTAAAATAATCAATTAAAAATCCCTACAGGTGGGAACTGAGTGCAAAGATGTGACTTGTGTGTGTAGGTGACGCCTGTACGTGCAGGTGGGACCTATGCATCCAGATGACACCTGTGTGTGCAGGGTGGGACCTGTGTGTGCAGGTGGGACCTATGCATCCAGATGACACCTGTGTGTGCAGGGTGGGACCTGTGTGTGCAGGTGAGACCTGTGTGTGCAGGTGGGACCTGTGTCTGCAGGTGAGACCTGTGTGTGCAGGTGGGACCTATGCGTCCGTGCAGGGTGGGACCTGTGTGTGCAGGTGAGACCTGTGTGTGCAGGTAGGACCTGTGTGTGCAGGTAGGACCTGTGTGTGCAGGTGAGACCTGTGTGTGCAGGTGGGACCTATGCGTCTGTGCAGGGTGGGACCTGTGTGTGCAGGTGAGACCTGTGTGTGCAGGTAGGACCTGTGTGTGCAGGTAGGACCTGTGTGTGCAGGAGGGACTTGTGTGTGCAGGGTGGGACCTGTGTGTGCAGGTGGGACCTATGCATCCAGATGACACCTGTGTGTGCAGGGTGGGACCTGTGTGTGCAGGTGAGACCTGTGTGTGCAGGTGGGACCTATGCATCCAGATGACACCTGTGTGTGCAGGGTGGGACCTGTGTGTCCAGTGTAACATTAACTGTGAAGGTGTGAGGAGAACTTAAGCTGTGATTTTCAACTTTGATTTGAACCGTAGCTTAAAAATTGTCATGCCTTTAGCAATAACACAGGCAAAAATACTGACTATTAAAAATGAAAAAGTGGCTTTAGGGTTGTTTTCAGTGAGCTGCAGGAGCTGCTATGAGCCTCTTTCCCAGATCACCCAGGGCCAGCCCAGTCAGACAGATCTTTTAGACCTTCCTGGAATCATTGATTCCAAATAATACATCATTTAAAAACAGAAAACATTGATCTTTATAAAACTCCAGCCCACGCATTTGTAACTTCCCACCCGTATTTTGATGAACCACGGGTTAACAGGTAGTTAATAGTTTTAAACCAGTTTCAGAATAAACACAGATGCATGATTAATTTCATAAGAAAATGTTTTTTTTTTGTTTCATTCTAAACTGCTGGAAAATCTTGAGTTGTTGTTTCCATTAGTTAAACAGCCCTTTAGATCACAGAGATTTTACATATCTGAGTAAATCTTAAAATGTACCTGTCTCCACTCTGAACTCCCATCGGAACGCAGTAGTTGAGCTCAAGCCTGGCGATGTTCCCGAGCCGCAGCACGATGCCGGCTCCGTATGACCAGCGGATACACTCAGCTAGTTTCTGGAGGTGCGCCTGGGGACCTTCGCCTGCACAAAACACAGCAAACATGTCACCATGAAGCCAAATTTTATTAAGTATGTGAAGTGGCCTTTGTTAACGTGTTTTATGGTTTTCACTCTTGTTTTCAAATAGCAACTAAAGTGACACGAGGTTTGATCAAATGAAAATAAATGACATAAGAATAACAATGGACTTCTACTGGAGAAAGCTGAGAAACATCTCAGATCTAAATATTTTACATGAAAAATACCTAGTAGATCTGTTTGATGGTGTGTAATTATGAAAGTGAGAATATGTCTGGTCATTAGGAGCTGATGAACATGAAAGTGCCCAAAACACGACAGCAAGTCAAAGTCATCAAGTAACCAGCAGCGTATTCTGCATCATCCACGTCCACCCACCATAATTTAGATTGCAGAGGTTTCCAGCGTTGAGAAAAAAGTGAGTTCTAAAAAGATCTCCAAAGCCTCCTTTGCCTGGTCTGAATGGTAGAGGGGTGTAGAGGTGCAGCCCACCCGCCCAGTATGCCTCTCCACCCAGATAGTCACCTAGGAGACGAGGAACACCCGCATCACACCGGCTTTTCTTCATTTGGATGATAAACCTCAAGTGTTTTCATCATTTCAAACATTATTTTAAAATGTATATTTCAGGTACCTCCTAAATGCTACTCAAATTTAATTCTGTCTTTAGCGCACTCGCCCTCTTTTACCTTCACTTTGTGGCCCGATGCTGTACATTCCAAACCCTCGAACACTGGTGGGACCTCCAAGGTAGAACCTGGACAAAACCAACCAATCACATACTCAGAGGACAGTTTTGGTTTAAAAATGACACATTCAACCAATGAAAAGTAAAGAATGAAGGCAGAATGTTCAATAAAAGAAGTTCTGCTTTAAAATAATAAATAAAAAAATGCTGTTGGGAATTATCACACAGACCTGTCAGCGATGCAGGACGGCTGCCCTTTGATGGGGTACAGCATGCCGCCCCATAATGAGGCAGACAAGACCTGAGGGAACACAAAATACTCCAGTTTCATCCACCAAAAAGGCTCTATAGAAACGTAACGCTGCCTCCTACAGGTCAAGGTGGGCCAAGCTAAACCACAATAGCAATAATGATGATAGCTGTGTTGTTTTAGAAGTATATGGAAAAGTTTCAGAGGAACTTATTTATGTCGTACAGAGTCCCAGAACAGCCGCCTGTTTAGCTGCAGCTCAAAATCTTCCTTCAGAAAGCTGGCGTCTCCACCGGTGTACCCTGCCAGCTCCTGCATCAGACAGACAGGGGACAACACACACACATGAAGTTTTACATTGAAATAAGCCTTTTAACCAGATGAACATATGATTTTTAAGTAGTTAGTTGTGTTTATTCCATCTTCATAAAGACCTAGTTAAATCCTCAGGCATCTAGTTAGGATGCTTCCTGGACACCTCCCTGTTGAGGTTTTCCGGGCACGTCCAACAGGGAGACGCTGGAGGAGGGACTATGTCTTTCGGCTGGCCAGGGAACACCCTGGAGGAGCTGGCCCACGTGGCTGGGGGGAGGGAAGTCTGGGCATCTGTACTTTGGCTACTGCCCCCTGTGATCCGACTCCGGATAAGAGGACGAAAATGGATTGATGGATAGTTAAATGCCTAAAAATAAGGCTTGTTTTGTGGTTTTTCAGCTTGGCTCAAGAAAAATATTATTTTGTGCTTGGGTAAATAACTGTAGCCCTAATATTGAGTCGTAAAACTTTATAAAAATGTGCGTCAGAAGCAGGAGTGTGTGCCTTTTGCTCACTGACCTGGTTGATTCGAAATAAGGCGCCTCGGCTGGGAAAGATGGCGGAGTTCCTTGAGTCAACTGACACAGTGTGCTACAAACACAACAAACAGAATGTGGTTTTAACTTTTTCGGTAGATAACACAGTCCAAACACTTTGCCTGAACTAGGAAAGAGCCTTCACGTCGTACTGAAACGGCCGATTTCAGCGAGTGTCCACTCTCCTCTCGCACAGCAAAGGAGGCGCTGCGAGCCAGGCAGCCCAGCTCCCTCCATACGCCCTCCCACTTCAGCGTGTGGCTGGTGACGCCAAGAGGAAACTGCAGAGATGGAAAACCGTGTTAGAGTAGTAGACAGGCATGCTCGTGTTCTTCTGAAAGAATATTCTGTCAAAGAGAACCTTACATTTAGTTCTGCAGAAACACCTCTGTCCGTCTCTTTTAAGGAGCTCCATGGAAACTGGCCAGTGACTTTATACAGGTTAAGGGTGAGGCTGTGAAAAAAGGGAACTTTACTTTAAAAAAAATATGCTCTCATGTTGTTTAAGGTGTGAGAATTAATCTCATGTTGTCGCTGTTGACATTTGTGTCCTCTCATCCTCTGTTCAGTACAGTAGATTCTAGTTCATGATCATATTCTTTTCTGAAAGGTGTGGAACTCTGAAAACCCAATTTATAATCATTATTTCTGATTATAATCAGTCACTCTGAGATTTCATGCAGGCTGAACACGAAAACAGTCTCCTACACCCATCCCCTGCATTTGCTTCCGATAGACAATAGATGGTGAAACTCTAGGATTTGAAAATCCTGACAGATCTACGCCACACTGTCTCATAACATTCATGGACTCACCCATTTTTACTCACGATGAGGAAGGCTGGTTAGCTAATGCTAACCGTTAGCATTAGCAACTCCACCACAAAACAGAAGCTGCTCCAGTATTATATTTGTGGAGCTAAAACATCAATGTTGCAAGTCAGTGGTAGAGTCGTGCTGCTGTTAGCCAATCTGAGGCAAGATGTCCAAATATCAGGAAATAAGACTGAAATAATAATAGGATTGCCATGTTGTGCCACTCTCTGCTGCAGCAAACTTTTCTGCGCTGATTCAAGTGGTTGTGTGCCCCCCCCCCCCCCCCAGATATGGCTTGCAAGGCATTCATTCCTATCAGAAACTACTGCAAATGCACTGATCAAACGAGTTTCCCACACCTTTAAATAATGATAAACGATCTGCACTTGTTGATAACTCCTGGGCCACCGTCGCCCCAACACAGCTCAAGTAAACCAGCAGTTCAAGTAAATCCACATATAATCAGTTATGTAGTCACTTTGGGTCAGATTAATAGTTTTCTACTCTAATTGAGGGAATAAGCACAACCTTCTGGGATTAAACTGCAGAAAAATTAAGTAATTGACAATAAAAACACGTTTAAGTAATTTCTATGAATGTGAGTTTGATTTTAAGTTTGAGCTCTATTGTAAGGTCCTTTAGGGGTTGTGTTTTGACAAACAAACATCAAATATACGAGTGGATCATGAAACAAAGAGACGTGTCTACTATTCAGTGGAACTCTGAGGCCCTGTCCACACGTAGCCGGGGATCTGCCAAAACGTAGATATTTTTCTACGTTTTGGCCTGTCATCCACACAAAAACGGATCTTTTTAAAAACTCCGGCCAAAGTGAAGATCTGCGTTTTCTCCGTTTTGGGTGTCTGCGTGTGGACAGACAAAACCGGAGTTTTAAGGTCTGCAACGCCACTTTCCGCGACACAAAAATGCTGACATCACGTGTGCGACCTGTGTTTACACTAGCCGACAGCATGGATGCCCTCAGAGCTGCGCTCGCTTTACCAATTGTCCAAGCGCTGTTTGCTTGTTTGTTTTAGCAAGCGGAGTTACTGCTCCTTGCGGAAGACCACAGACGAAGGACGAGGTTAAGAACGGGGGAAGTACTGCCGCCTACAGGTCTGGCATGTCCTTAACGACGTATTTATCCGGGTACGAGTGGACAGAGTTTTTTTTTAAACGAGGTGGTGTAGATGCAAATTTTTGGAGGGGCGGATATTCGTTTTTAAAAAAACCTGGCTACGTGTGGACTGGGCCTGATAAGAGCATTGGCTCTTTAAGCATAAAAAGTGGACTGTTTCAGTCCAGCTAGAGACACAGGTGTGTATGTAGGACATCTGTGGACATACTTGCGTTCAAAGAATCCAGGCTGCGGCTTGAAAAAAGACAGACCATAGGACGTCTCCTTTGTCCCATATGAAAACTGGAAGGTCAGCTTCTCAGCTCGACCGAACATGTTGGGCAGCTTCAAACCCAGAACCTGGAAGACAGTTCAGAACCTTCAACACACCTTTCATTTGTCACTGCAGCCATCCTTCATAAAGCGTAGTGATGGAGAAGCGCTTCCTACCATGCTTCCTTCATTGTTGCCAACCATCGTGTTGTAGCTTCCTGTCAGCCTCTTGATCTCAGTCACTTCAAAGGTGACATCCAAGCCATTGGGCAAGGCATCTGTACCTGAGGAGAAGGGCAACGAGGAAGGAAAAGAGTGAATTTAGCCAAGTCCTTCTCTGGTTACTCATAGGCAGATGCTTTCAGAAAGGGATACCTTCAGATGTGTCAATGAGAACCTCCACGTCTTTGAAGATTCCCAGCCGAAGAAGCCTCAGCCTGGCTACGTGAGCGCGTTTCATCACCTAAAACAGGTTTCTGCTTTAAACATGTACAGTGAAGTGTTGACATGCTTGTGTGACAAACACGTACGTCGATCAGACTTTTGGCGTGGAACACATCAGAGATCTCATAGCCCAGCAGATCCTCCTTGGTTCTCCCCAGACCCTCTATGTTGACATGCTGAACAACTACCTGAAGTCAAAGAGTTGCAAAAACAAAATTGTCACTTTGAAAATGAACTTTTCCTAAAATCTGTGAAAGAATCTAATTCAGAACCTAATGATACTTAGACTTTATGATGTCCAGCCACATTCCACGCTAACTGAATATAATTTAACGTGTCACATAACATTTTATTTATTAATAAAGGTGAAAAGTTTTAATTTCTCCCAGAAAACTGGAGTTGTCTGGTAATCCTTCCTTCCATGCGACATCATTATCATGATTTTTCAGTAATTCTGGCCAAGTGTGTTTTTGGTTTTAAATGATACTATTCTGTAATCTAGAAAAACCCTAACATTACCACTGCTCACATCTTTATTTTCCAGGATCTCTTGCTTGGACTCCTGTTCCTGTTCTGGGGGTTCAATCAGGTCATCAGGGTGGACACCCAGATCCCGGCCATGCATCGGGAGCGGATCCAGGCTCTGCACCAAGAAAAAGTAAAAACCTCCAACTGTGTCATCCGTAGCATCAAACAGGGAACTAACACAAACACCAATGTGTTTAAAATGCAGCTTACTTCTGAACTTCTAGCTTGTTAGCTTGTGCCTAATTTTGGATTTCAACAGCCCTGCATAGCTCTGAGCAGCAAGGTTTTTTGGTACAAAAGTATGTGCTATGTTTTTCTGTTAGCTTTGTTCTAAAATGAAAAATAAGTCAGAGTTTCTTGCTTTTAGGCATCATTGGTGGTCAGATGAATTTTATTTTTAGTAGGAGAGATGGTAAAAATAGCTTTTTCCCTTCTGAAGATTGCAGATTCCCTGGGTTACAATGTATTTACTTCATTCATTAAAAGGTACAAAAACAACAATAAAAATTAATATAGGCTTCATTTCAGGCAAAAACAATGAGGATCTGACTAAAGACTCCTGTAAGAAAGAAAGAAAGATGAAAGAAAAGTATCTTTTATATAGATAAAAATAATGAGGCGCTTCACAAGAACAAAACATTCAAATATATGTATATATATATATATATATATATATATATATATATATATATATATATATATATATATATATAGAAAAAATGTATTCAACGTATGGTTAAAATGAGAAATAAATTGTGATTAAAATGTAAGGGTGTAATGTAATGATCAGCAGTCATGAAGGAGAAATGTCCTTATATCAGAGGGTGGAGGAGCTGATGCCAACGACCACTAAAAAACATAAAGTTTAATTAAAGTATTTATTTACCACTGATGTCACCTTTAAGATCTCTAAACATAACGAGTTTTTGAAAAAGATGAAACATATGTTCTGATTTTTAATGTCTAGAAGTCTGTTGGAATGTTTGTTTGTATGTTGATCAATCTAAAGCAGCGCGTGCCCGCTGGTTTCCTTTGATGTCTGTCTTTAATTAACAAATGCTACAACAGAACATCGAGTCAGTCAGCCATCAACCCAGAAGAAGGGAGGTCAAGGCACAAAACGAGACTTCAGGCAGGAGAAGGAAAAACAAATCGCTTTACCTTAGCATGGACGGTCCCCATGGTGACTACCGGCTCCTAAAAATGTTTTACACTGACTTTATTATTGTGTTCGAGAGAGAAAAGAGAGAAATGACAGCAGCTACTGTCTCAGCTACCAAGCCCCCTTCAAGGGAGACGCCATGACAGTTGCTGAGGTAAAATGTTGCGTCCAAGTACATTCAGTAATTTAGAGCATCTAAAATTTGACTCAGGCTTTCAAATGTCATTAAATTTTGTGCATTGAGTGAAATGTTGTTAGTGTGCTAGCAAAATATTATATTGACAATATGAGCAGACATTGATTTAAAAAAATGCAATGAGAGGCGTAACGTTAGATGGTTATGACAAAAAAAGTTCGGTTCCTGAAAGCATCATCATTAGAGATGTAATGACACTAAATTGCCAGCAGATGACAGTAACAGCATTTTTTACGTCTAATTTCTCTGCAGAAAAAAATGACGATAAATTTAATTTTGGCCACGCCACGGAAGCGTGTTGCATTCACCGAAAAAAAAGCGATTTTTTTTTCCAAATTCATGAGATAATATTGACAAAGATTCAAACTTCAAGTGATCCACAGTTCAACAAAGCACACTGCTACAGGCATCAAGAGGTGCTATACATGTAAAGCACAATTTATAACAAAACATAATTAATTATAAAAACCTGAAATTCTTTATTTTTCTTTTTTACATTTTCTAATTACAAAATAACTTTTCTAGTTCAGTCTGCAAATCAGCATGAATGACTGATCAAATCCGACCCCCTGCCATATGAAGGATGTAGATGCAGACTGAAACGAAAAGGTCAACGCTGCTATTTTAGCAGTTTTAGACACCGCTGGAGCCTATCGACAAAAACAACAACAGCAAAAAAAACTTTGTTGGTGATTTCAAGAAAACTACGTTATAGTAGGACCTGCAGAATCTGCTTTTACTCTACATGTTTCAGATGCTATGATGGACTTTTGCTGTTTTCATTTGACCTTTACTTCTCTAGTTTCCATGAGTGATCTAGGACAAAGAACATATAATTTGATTTATCTACACTTTATTGAATGCATGTTGCAAATACATTTAAAACATCTACTTTTAAACTTATTTTATCAGAAATTTAAAAACGGACCCAAAAGGATATTTTTGCTGATCTGAGTGGAAACATATTTTTACTAAGCAATTCACTGTGGCTATTCCTATCTGTGAAACAGAAACTCTGTCTAAAAGATTCTTAAAAGTGTCCTTTATGATCAATCTTATCACTGGGGTTAGTTTGAGTCATCCTGACACATCCCTGTCATTCTACTGGTTCTGGTCCTAGATGAGGATTCATCCGGTTCAAAGGAAGTTTTTCTTGACATTGCCGCCCCCTGCTGCACGGGATGGGGGTCTCATTAACTTACAGATGTGATGAAATCAGATGGGTTTCTATTATAGGGCCGATTTCACAAATGGAAATGTTCAGTTATTTTAATGTTATATCAATTCTAAAATGATTTATTATAATTTTGTTACTCGGTTAAATATCAATACAAAAGTTGCTCAAAAATTTCAGAAGAAATCCTTACAGTATCTTTGATTTGATTTGATTAAGAAGTGCGTGTGTCTGCGGCCCCAAACCCCAACATCACACCTGTAATGATGAAAGCTGACGCTAAATATTTTGACGCATGATCTGTGGAGGAAGGGAAGATGAACATCAATGTTGATGCTGTTTCCAGTAGCTCATTTAGGTCACCATGGAAACCACACTTGTGTCTCATACTCCCTAATGGCCCTGATGGTCACACAGGGGAATGTTGAAGTTTCTGCTGAATAAGGAAAAACCTTCAATTTCTGTTTTGAAGATGATATTTTCAGTGAAAAATTTTCAAGTCTATACGTATGGAAGCTTGGGTGTGCCGTCGGCACTCTGGGATTTTAGAGATAAACATCAATCCTACAGAAGTGAGAAACGAGAGAAGTGAGAGAAGAAAAAATATGTTTGTTTCATCTCATTTGTTTGCAAATGATTCTAAAATTAGTATTCTATGGAAAAAATCCAATAGAAATCTATCAGATTCAAAAAATACAGAACAAAACCAACAAAATTGAACTGTTAAAACCACAAAACATTTCAAAACATCAGCTAAAGACTGACTTTCTGTTGCCTTTTAGCCTTGGATCGTGCTTGAGGAGGAGGCCTACCACAGCTGTGGAGCTCCTTTGTCGTTAGATGTTGGGAAATTCAAAGGCTTCATTTATTTTTGTTTTGATAATTTTGTGGTTTTTACGTGACACACTGCAGTCACAGCTCACTGTTGCTGATCGAAGAGCACGTTTTGATGCATAATTTGCATACTGTTTTTCAGAAGAGTGAAAGAGTGAAAGTCACAGAATGATGGAAAGGATTGTAGTGGTAATGACTAAACCTTTAGACATGTGCCACCTGCAGTACTCGTACCCCCACAAGAGGGCAGACGTCATGTTGATGCAGCAGGTTTATGAGGAGGGCACTAATCCTGCTGAAGAGGTGGAGGTCTTGAAAACTAGAAAGATACTTTTGAAACGTGATACATTTGGTGTTAAAGAGTTCAAAAGGTGCTGTTTGATGCTCTTCCCTTCTCAGCATCAATAAAAAGATAACAGTGATCACGTGACCCTGCTGGAGCTCTTGAAGGACATGTGAGGTTTAAATGAGGACAGAAACAATAGTTACTAATATTTAATATTAATTCTCTCTCTCTCTCTCTCTCTCTCTCTCTCTCTCTCTCTCTCTCTCTCTCTCTCTTCTCTTTTACCGGCACGAACAAGCCAATCAATTCGCTCTGATCACCCCCCGTCCGCCCCCTTCTACCCCGCCGACCCCCGCACTCCCTCCCCTCCCCTCCTCACCCCCACCCCATCTGCAGCTGTCCACCGAGAGACGGTCCTTCTTCTCCTCTCCTGTCGGACGAACATTCACACGCGCACCTCTGCGCACGCACACACACGCACACTTTCCCTCTTTCTCTCCCTTTCTCTTTCTCTCTCTCTCTCACGCGCGCGCGCACTGACTCAGTCCAGGTCCCAGAGCCCTCAGAAGCCCCGCTGGATCCTCACATCGCCTGTCAGCATGGGGATCGCTTGTTTTTCCCGGGACGTTTGTTTGTTTATCCTCCTCATAAATACTTGCAGGGTGATGGGGAATGTCGGGCTCGCAGGTAAGAAACTCCAGTTTCTGCTCGTCGTCTGGAACACTTAGCAGTTTATTAGTCTGCGGCTGGTGCTGGTTCGGTGGGACCGGGTTAAACACGGATGTGTCAGACAGCAGCAGACCCGAGGACATAATCCCGGAACCCTCATTTAAACTTTCCATAAACAGAATCACACAAACTGTTGTGTAGGGCTGATGCAGAGCCGCGTCACGGACGCACGGACCACAGCCAGACGCCAGTGGGACGGATGGGTGACAGGAAGCAAACACTGATTAAAGCTAATTAACTTTGTAAATCCCGGATAAATCTCAGCTGTGCTCCCCGTGTTTTCCTGCTGAAACGACACTGGTGGTGACTTCTGGGGGAAACGCGTGTTTTCTGCGACCCGGGGGCCAGTTTCAGTCGGAAACCATAGCTTGGTCCGCGGCCCGCGGGTGAAGCAACCTTTGGCTTTGATTCGGCGTGAGAGGGCTGCCTGTCTTCATGGATCACCGATGGAGGCAGCGGGGATAGGGGGTGGGGGTTTACCAACGCATCTGCCAGGGAGCATCTCTCTGTGTCGGGTTTGGTGCCTCTTCCTGAGCCGGAGGAAGTGTGTGCGTGCGTGTGTGTATGTGTGTGTAAATGCCGGTTTTGAAGGTGGTTGGGGGTTATGGGTTTTGGGAAGAAGGGGCTGTCAAAGTCCCTTGAGGAGCTGGCAGGGGCCCAGTATTGACTCAGAGCAGCACATTGTTCTGGGCAGGGAGTCATTATGGTGTCCATCAAGGAGGACAGCCAGGTGGAGCAAGGACACTGTACCCATCTCACTAACACAATAAACTTGTTGCAGCTTTACAACACACACACACACACACACACACACACACACACACACACACACACACACACACACACACACACACACACACACACACACACACACACACACACACACACACACACACACACACACACACACGCTAGCATTTGTTCGGACTGTCATTGCCTTCCATTCATTTTAGTGACTGGATTGTGCCAACCCTGACTCTCACTCTGACCGTTACCAGTTTACTCCTAATCTTAACTAAGACTTCAGTCACAGCAAACGTCTAAAAATAACCAGTAGAGATCTGTAATGTTGTCCCAAAATGAGGACCAGCAAAATGTCCTCACTTTGCTGCTAATGTCCTCAGTTTGCAGGTAAAAACCTTGTTTTGGTCCTCACTTTGACACACACACACACACACACACACACACACACACACACACACACACACACACACACACACACACACACACACACACACACACACACACACTCTCTCTCTCTCTCTCTCTCTCTCTCTCTCTCTCTCTCTCTCTCTCTCTCTCTCTATCTATCTTTATCTGGGTTTATAATTATATATTTAATACAGCTGAGCCAGGTTTAGGACCAAAGCATAACTTTGGCCCTAAACACTTACATCCAGGTTGACCTTTAACCTCTGGCTGAACCAGGGGATGAGGACAGCAGCTCTGCCATGAGGCTAAAGTTTGCTGATTGATAGAACCAAAACACAGGTGTTGTGTGTGTTTAACGAGTTGTTCTTCTGCCCTTGGATCCCAGCCCAGATGTGACCAGCTCTCTTATCTATAATCGATCGAGGAGCCCTAAGGGCCTGCGTCCTAGTGTGTCCTCAGCTGGAAACGCTTAACTCTTTTGCTGTTTTTACTCAATACATGAAATGATCAGGAAGTTATTGTATCCTCTTGGAAAAATATGCTGACATCCAATTAGCCTATAGTTGTAAATTAAGTGATTTTTAAACTGGATGATGTAATTGAGATCATGTTCAGCTAATTTGTAAAACTGCTAAGGAATAATTCCATTTTGGCTGGAAGGTCCTAATGATTTTGGCTTTTACTTTATTTTGGTTTGCAGTTAGGCTCCAGGTTGTGAGACAGAGAATTAGTCCTCACCGGATGAAGTTACAGTCTCAGACTGAAGTTTACACTCATCATTGGTACAAACAAAATGTCAGCTTTGATTTTTGTAGATTGATTTGAAATGTTATTTTTCCAAGGTAGAATATTTATACAACACACATCTGAATTATTTCTTTTCCACACAGACTCAGCTATTCACCATTAAAGGAAGCGTTTGGATTGTTTCTTTTATCTGACGACACCATCTAGTGGCTGACAAGTGCATCACACCAAGACGTTGTTTCATTTCCTTAGTTACGTCCGAAAGCAAAGCATCTCGTTCATGAACGCGCTCCTCAAGCTGACAGACTAGAGCAAAAACATTGTTACAAAGTTTTTGTGCTCATGTTATCTTGTGTTTTTATATATTTATATTTTAAAGTCTTGTCCATGAGAGAGGTCGCCAGCTCTGCTTTAACTGAGGTACGTCCTTAAATACTCAAACACACTTTGTGATTGATGCCTGACATGCCCAAAATTTTAAACATCTGTCGAAAGTGACGGAGAACACCGCTTCCTGTATATTCGTCATTAGCGCCACTGTAGCTCCGTTAAAAAGTAAGCAGATATTTAGCGGCAGACCCAGAACAGACTGAAGAAAGCATTGCGGAAAAAGTCAGAAAATATGAATGGTTGTTCACCCGTGAGTGAACGAGTACAAAATACGGAGCAGACGTGGATGGAAACAACAGAAAAAAAGGGTTTGGAGGTGGCGACCGCATGAAGAGATGGATGAGAATGAAGGACTAATTTGTCCGTGTTATAAAGTCTCTGAAATATATAAACACATTAGTAAATACACTATCGGGGACCGGATTCATGAGTGTTCTGGTGGCAGAATACCACAGAACAGTGCTACGCCCTCTGTTGTCCTGAGAGGAAATTGCTTTGCACCCTCTGCTGCCTGAACAGAAGTTTGAATGTGAATATCTTTCCGAAACTCCGTGTGCGTCTCTTCGTCGCAGAGCTCACAGAGAAGTATAAATCAGGCTTTAGATGATAAGTAGATAAATACATGGTCATATCAGGTGCTGGTAATCTTGGGTGTTTTACAGTAGGGATCACTTACAACACTTATTACAGTAGTTTGTCTCCGGCATTGGAGGAGTGTTGATGTGTGCCGTTATAGTTCTGAAAGACTCGTTAATGGAAGTAAAGCACCACGGTTGACTTATTCACTGGGCAGCAGTATCTCAGGAGGAAGGGATTGTACAGTACATCTGGGTTTGAGCACGTCAGGATTAAACAGCTGCTAAATCCGTATTCTAGAAGATGAGATCACCTGTTCATCACCACCTCACACCCCATCACCTTTTCTTTTTAGTTCTTTCTTCTTCTTTAACCTGTATAATTCTTTCCTTTCCTCTCTTTACCTGCTTCTGTACCTTTATATCTGTATGGCACAACCACACAACTTTCCAACACTGTGTCAGACTCAGAACACACACACACACACACACACACACACACACACACACACACACACACACACACACACACACACACACACACACACACTTACGTGTGTATGCATGTATGTATATATATATATATATGTGTGTGTGTGTGTGTGTGTGTGTATATATATATATATATATGTATGTATGTATATATATTAAATCCACAGAACAATATCATAATTTATGCATGAAATAATACAACCAAAAACACTGTTGGATCTTTATTATTATTATTATTATTATTATTATTATTATTATTATTATTAACTTTTCTGTTATTTTTTTAACATACTATTTTATACATTTAGTTACTTATTCCATCTTATTCACATGAAGGCATCATATTTTAGCTACTCACACACACATCTATGGGTGCACTAAGGTTTGTCTCATGGAACGTACATGGAGCTGGCTCTTGAGAGAAAAGATTAAAGATTTTTGATCAGCTAAAGGGAGTGCAAGCAGACGTAATATTACTACAAGAGACTCATAGATCTGCCACATCCACAGATGAACTTAAAACACCTGAGTTTCCCAGCATGTTATCTGCCTGCTATAACTCTAGGCAAAGAGGTGTAGCTATTTTAATACACAAAAACATCAATTTCACAGTATTGGACACAGTTTCTGATCCAGAGGGTAGATTTATAACGTTAAAAATATCTGTACAGAACCAAAGCTTATGTATTGTCAGCATATACTGTCCAAATATTGATGACCCTTCATTCTTTCATAATTTTTTCTCTGTACTCTCCAAACACTTGGACTGTCCACTTATACTTGGAGGTGATTTTAATTTTTGGATGAATTCCTTAACAGACAGGGTCAGTACAGCTGGGACTCAGCGCAATTGGCAATCCACTAACATAGTTAAACAGTACATGAGTGATTATGGGCTTTGTGATGCATAGCGATATCTTCATCCTAACCGTAGAGAATATACTTTTTTTCACACGTCCATCACTCTCATTCACGTTTGGATTATTTTCTAGTCAGCAGCTCATTGTTGGCTGACATTTCAGACACAGATACACTCCAGAGTTGTCAGCAACCATGCTCCGGTTTCATTAACTCTGGTAAACAAGAAGACAATCCCACCAAGCAAAAACTGGAGGTTTAATACATCACTACTTAAATATGAGGGTTTTATAGAATTTTTAAAAAAGGAGTGGGCTTTATATTTAGAACATAATGACCTGCCTGGAACATCAGCATCTATTCTCTGGGAGGCAGGAAAGACAGTGATGAGAGGTAAAATAATCTCTTTCTCATCACATACGAAAAAAACAGAAAACAAACATATTCAGGAGTTAGAGGAAATCATTAAGTCTTTAGAGGCACCCACAGAAGAAGAGTTACTGAGCAAATTACGTAAAGCTAAATTAGAACTTCATGGAATTACTGACAAAAAGACACAATTTTTAGCACAAAGACTACGAATAGAAAACTTTGAACATAGTAATAAATCACGTAAATTTTTAGCTAGCCAATTAAAAATAAATAAAGAGAAAACTACCATATCTGCTGTTAAAGACTCAACCAGGAATATAGTTTACGACCTTGAAAGCATAAACAACACTTTCAGAGACTTTTACCAAACTT